TAAGAGATTTCAGACAGGTAGGAAAGAAGACCTGGAATCTCAGAATTGTAGACTGCATTTTGTTCAGACTTCTTATTTTAAAAAATAAAGCCCAGAGAAGACAAGTGACTCCCCCAAGATCACACATTTGGCTGGTGTAGGAGCCATTATTTTAACCCAGGTCTTCTCACTCCCAGACTTCTGTTTTTGTATGGAAAAACTACTTGAGGTCGACATAACATTGTGGTACCATGGTCTACATCTAGTCTAGGCAATAGATAATTGACAACCAATAGCTGACTGGTTGAACAATAAGAGGCAACATTAGACAGGCAAGGCTGGATGGTAAGAGTATGCTGTGCCAGTTTCAAATTCACACAAATTCATATTTGCACACAAAGGTGCTGAAGGAAGGCCTATGTGAGCAAACATATTGCAATAAAGGTTCCTAGGGACTGTTATGGGTTGAATTGTGTCCCCCCAAAAGATATGTTGAAGCCTTAACTCCCAGAACCTTTGAGTGTGACCTTATCTGGTAAGAGGGTCTTTGCAGATGTAATCAAGTTAAGATGAGGGTGGGCCCTGATCCCGTAACTGATGTTCTCAGAGGGAGTTTGGCCATGTACACACAGGGAGATTACTGTGACAAAGCAGAGGCAGAGATAAGACTGACAGGTCTCCAAGCCAAGGATCACCACAAATTGCTGGCAACCACCAGAAACTGTAGGAGGCAAGAAGGACTCCTCCCCTAGAGCTTTTAGAGAGAGCGTGGCCCTGCTGATACCTTGATTTCAGACATCTAGCCTCTAGAACTATAACAGAATAGATTTCTATTGTTGGAAGCCACACAATTTGGGGTACTTGTTACCACAGCCTCAGGAAGCTAACAAGTCTGGAGAAACAGCTGGGCTGGGCTGACGTGAGGAGACTGAAATCATGCAAATGATTGCAACGGGGCAAGGCCTGTGGGTTGGCCCTTTAGAGAAAACGGTCCTTCATCCCTCTCCCCCACCCCACACGTCCCAGACTGCCTTTCTTGCTGGGAGGTAAGTGAGAGGGTGGGAAAGGAGGAGCGCTACAGTGAGAGGGCCCTGGATGGGAATCCTCAGCCTGCTGCTTGCTTGTTGAGAGGTGCACCTTAGGTCACAAACTCCTAGGGCCGCAGTGTCCTCACCCACAGTGTACAGCCTTCCTCAGAGATCTATTGTGGGAACCACTGTGGCTGCCTACTGAAGCTCTGTCAGCATTAATTTCTTTGCCTCTGTTGTATTAAGCCTTTGAACCATGCTGGGGCTGAGAAAGAAAACTTAACATTTCAGACACCTCCCACTTGGAGAGAGGAGCCCTAAGTCATTAAATACCAGCACTGGGAGGGACTCTCGAGGCCATCCTAGCCAATTCTCTCATTTTAGACATGAAAGCACCAGTCATGTTGTGTATCTTCCACACTCACCAGACTGTGTTGGGTACCTAGGGGGCCTGTAAGTGAATGTCTGACCATGGATGAAGTGACTTGGAAGAGCTCATAAAGAAATGCGACTTGGTCTGATGGTGGGAACAAAGTCACCATTTGACACCATTTAGTGGGCTCCACCCACCTCACCACTTTGCCCAGACTGGAATCTGACTGTTCAATGCCTGATTCAGTATCTGTCAAAGAACGTTTTGCTAGGCCGCCTTCCCCGAGAGACCTTCAGAGAGTTTAAAGTCTGAGTTGGAAGAAGAGTTGTTCAAAAATAGGTTCTCAGAATTCATGAAGTGTTTCCAACTGTATAATTAATTCTACCTCATAAGATCAAAAGAAGAGTCACGTTAACCCAAAGTCAACTCTAACTGAAGTAGATAGAAAATATAGTCTCCATTACAAAGAGAAAAGATACAAGAACTAAAGACCAACTATAACGACGCCCTTCTTTATTCCCACCCCAGCTATGGCCTTTTTCACTTACCCCACTTCATTACCCTCTGTAGGACTTAATACCATCTGAAATATTATATTTACTTGTTTCTGCATTTATTCAGTTAGGACCTATCTCCACTCACTGGAATGTTCCACAAGGGCTCAGATCTGGTCTGTTTTTCTTCTTGGTGTCTGGAGCTGATCAGTTTTATTCACTGATGCTCAGTGCCTACAACAGTGTCCGCTGCATCATTGGTTCACCGTACAGATTTGTTGAATAAATGAGTAAAATAGCAAGTAAGTTTGGGCAAGGAAAAAAGCAGTTGTATGACATGGATTAGGAGGTAGAATGGGGGGCCACATTTTTTTCTGCAAAACTTGCCCCTACATCCACTAGCCCACAGCCAGTGGTTCTCAACCTGTGGGTAGTGACCCACAGGAACTGTATTGAAGGGTCTTGATATTAGGAAGGTTGAGAACCACTGCCCTAGGCCAATTTGCCAGTAAGACCATTTCTCTCACCTCTCTGCTCTGAATCCATCATTACCAAGCAAGCTTTGATTTAAATTTATCTATTTGCTTTTTTCTACAGGTGGGAATATAGGGATCACAATTTTGGTTCACTTGGTATGGTATTTTTCACTGTAGAGTAATAGGCTGGCCTTTCATTTTTTAAAATTGGTTCCGATCTCAAAAGAATTCTGAGGAACAGAATATCAACCAGGATGGAAACCTGTGTTGAAGAAAGCTGAGAGCAGCACACAGGAGACTTGAGTTCTAGATCTCACTCTGCTTTTGACTCACCTGTGTGGCCTTAAAAAAAAAAATCACTTCTCTGGGGTTCAGGTTCCCCACAAAGGCATCAACCTTGCTAAACTCTGAGTCCTTTCCATCGTTCAAAGTTAGAATTCTATGAAAATTCATAAAGTAAGTTCTTCCATGTATTTTAACTCTGTAAGAGAATAGCTATTGGCAATCCTGTATGGTTCGTTTGGGTTATGGGGTCAGTATGTTTCCTGGGGTCTGTTTTCAGCACCATGAAAAGTCAGATGGTGTCCTCACCAAAAATCTAAAAGGCTAGCAGAGGCACTCCCCAGGGGAAGTGGAGACCACACAGCACCTCTTGTCACGTTTAAAGTGGTACTGGCCTATGAGTGTGGGGAGGAGCTGGGGGTACAAGAAAAAGGAACGGTGAGGCTGCAGATAGAGGATGTGCAATGAGAAGGCAGGTGTGGAGAGCCCTGGACTGGAGAGTCACTGTCCTCCCGTGAGGGCCTGGCACACACCTCCACTTGCCAAATGAGAACTTGCTCATAAACTTTGAGGAGACACATGAAAGTGTTTCTACTCTGAGCCACTTTGTGTGGGGAAGGGGAAGAGCTGAGTGTTCCGTATGTTTATCTTCTTTAGGAGTCTTAGTTACCCATTGGCCAACACTGCCCCTGCTCTCTCTGTAACCCTTCCAGCAGTAGGCCTTCCTTGAGATCCTAATTTTGTGTTTGTAATAACAGTTATTGAACTAGCTCTCCAGTTTATACCTTCTGATCAGACTTTTCACCTGAGTGCTAGTCCTATATGACTGCCCACCTACAAGTTAGCCTCTGGTAGATATCATTACTTTAAATTTGATATGTCACAAGCCAACTTAAAATAGGTCCCCTTCCTAACTCACTCTGTTTCTGCCACTGGCATCACTAATGTCATTCTGAGAGTTTCATTTGGAAGTTATTTTTCAGTCCTTATGACTCCCTGTCAATAATCATCTGCAGCCTCCATAAACAATTAACAGACTCATCAGTCTACCCACTGCTCAACAATTCTTTACTGTCTATTATTATTTGCATTGTGATCTGAAATTATCTGATGGATCACCCAAGGTTGTTGAGGCTTCTCTCACAGGCTCTTGAATTCATCCCCTTTCTCTCCTCCCCACCTTATTCCGTGTTCTTGTCCCCTCATGTCTAAACTCCAAAAGTATCTTTCTCACTGGCCTCCCACTTCAAGCCATGGCAAATAAAACAACAGATTGGCATTTCTAAAAGTATTTTCATCCAGTCATGTTTTGCCTACAAACCTAGGAGGGTTCTCATTTACCAATCAGTGTTTACAAACTCCTCATTTAGCATTTGAGAGCTTGGGTCACTGCTCCCTCGTCCCCAAACCACCCATGATCTGTCACCTTGTCACCCATGGCCCTCAGGAGTCGCTTTCCCTTTCAGGTCCACCCAGCAGTTCTCCTCTGAAGCCCAGACAGTGACTTTGTCCCTGTCCTTGCCCTACCTGGACTCTCCTTGCCACCAATCCAGACCCGGTATTTCTTCCAAGATGCACCTTCTCCTAAAGGTTCCCCACATAAATGAACCGCAGACCTCAAAAATCCTTCCCTTTTTTCTGAATTCCCTCAGCATTTTCTGAGTATTTTCCTCTCATTATTTCGTATGCATTTGTTGAGCTCCTAGATTGAAATTTGAGCTCCAGAAGGGCAGAGGTCAAATCTTCATTTACCCAGATTTTGACTGGGCAAGGACAGATGCAAGGCCAGTAAGATTCTGCACGTAACGCGTGGACAAGGCCTCATGCTGCAGCGTAGGCAGTGAAGGCAGTAAACATGCACCACAGAGCTGAGACCAGCTGTAGCACTAGGTTAGAGACTTAGCCATGTTTGGAGAAGTGTTTTTTAATGCTGAATTAAACTTTTAAAAAACAATTCAAGCCTTTACACCTCCATTATATTCATCGGAAACACAATGGCCAATATATCCTATCAAGACTCAATTACTAATCAGCTTTGAGGTCCTTGACTCTTCCCAGTCAGAATGCTTGGTCTAGTGGGGACAGCGAAATCAGCTGTCTCTATCAGATGTTGTCACTACAGCTGATAACTACCTACTCCTTAACATCAGTTCATGCCCTGGAACCAAAGGTTGTCTGACTTCAGTACAAGTCAGATATATGTAGGGAAATCGTGAATCCAGCTCCACTCCCCCTGGGTCCAGTTGCACAATGATGTCTTATCCAAACCTACAGCTCAGACACGTAATGTGCAGCCCCTCGCAGAAATAAAAGAAGATGCCTCTCTCCCCAGGAGCTCTCAGAGGCGCAGAGAGGGAACCAGACTTACCCTCACACAGTAGTTCATGCCTATCCCCAACAGGTGCTGCAGGAAGTGTCTGTCCGGCCTGCTCCTGGGGGGCGGCTCCCCAGGGCGGGGAAGGGGGCACCGGTCGGGGCTTGAGGCGTTTGCCCTGTGCCCCACCGGGTCTGGCTGCAGTGAAGGTGCCGACTCAACCCTATTTAGGCTGGTTTCGGGGGAAGCGGGGCTGCTGGGTGCCGGGTCCTGGCTTTCCTGGAGCTTCAGCCGCGGCACCTCTTTGGTACCCAGGCAGAAGTTTTTTAGACTCAGCAAAGTGGCTGGGTTGGCCAGCTTCATGCTCGCCATGCGGGGGATCAGGGTGCACAGTGGGGTGGGGCTCTCCTGGGATGCCAAGGTGGCATCTTCAGCCGGCAGGTGAGGGGCCAGGGTGGGGTAGGGAGGCTGCTGTGAGCTCTTGTTCCCGCCCGAGCCTCCGGGGCTGCCCTCGTCCAAGGACGTGCTGGACTCGTTCCGAAAGCGGCTGTACTTGGCCCTGTGCAGCATCCCGGGGTGTCCGAAGAGTCCTACATACAGCACGAGTCCTGCCAGGCTGTCCTGGCCGCGTTCTCGCATAGCCTTGGCAGCCCTGGCACAGGATACTGTGGCATAAATCGCCTCCTGGTCCAGTAGATAAACGGTTCGGACACCAAACGCCTCGGCGCCCCGAGCACCTCCAGGCAGCCCCCTCTCCAACTCTGCCTTCGCCCTCGCCCGCCTGGCTCCGGCCGCTCAAGGGTGACAGCCCAGGGAGGAAAGCGCCTCCCCGGCTCTGATTTCAGCTCCTCCCTGCCCAGGCAGCCGCACCGCTCTTCTCGCCTGGGTTCCTTGCTGGGAAAGCCTGGACCCAGACTCCGGGTGGCGGGGGTCGTTCACAGCCAACTCTCAGGCACAAAACCCGGCGAGCACCCGGCCCAGCCGCCCTGCCGCATCCTCGCAGGAGCCCGGTAGAAATACTTAGCGCCCTCCACCCGCTAGCCTTCCCTTCTGCACACAGCAACTTTCAAACCTGCCCCCTTCGGCTCCCACAGGGCGGGGCAATGACTGGCCTATTAACCCTTTATTTGTTCCAGTGATTGTTCATTTTAAAAGGAAAAAAGAAATGTCTGTATGAGCCAAAGGTCCTGCTGCCTGGGTCCGTCGATTCTGCTGGCTGCCTTCCCTGGGAAGATCTTTGCCTCGCATCCCGTTCTAGGCCCGGCCGGGAGTACTAGAGACGAGCGCCGCTCCGCATTGTCTCACTGAGTAGCGATCGGTCGGTGCTCCTCAGATTCCCCTCCTGGCCTGCCCACCCCTCGCTCAGAGCTTCCCTCCCTCCTCGACTCCTCTGTGAGCTTTTTTCAGAAGCTCATTCGCTGCCCAAGGCTGAGATGTGCAGGATGATGCACACAGTGTTGAAATTTTTATGAATGAACTTTGCCGAATGAATTTCTCTCTGTGTGCAAGCTAATAAATCTGTGAATGAAGCTGAGAATAGCTGTAATTGACTGACGGTCTCAGAGGTGCTGGGTTTTTATCCAATCAGGCGGCAGCTTGATGACTCATGCACCATAAATATACTAAACTAGTAGCCGGGAGAAATAAAGCAAGGGGGAGAGAAGGGAGAGATTTTATTTCGTGCTGTCTGATGAATGGGTTAAAAGGAAAGGCCGTCTTTGCTACACATCTTCAGTAAGATGGGGAGCAGCAGGTTAAAAGATTTATTTTCTTTCTTGTTGAGGTGGCCGGGAAGCCAAGCAGAAGAGCTAAAAATTAGATCCATTGTTCCAGGGATATTAGGACATATGGTTCACAACTCCTGTGGGAAGCTGTGATGCATTTTTCTTAGAAACATAGTTCTTTTTTATTGATTGTTGGTTCCATCTTCCGTCTGGTGCAACTTCCTGTACCTATCAAATGCATTCTGAAGACATGATGACAACCGCAGAGGCTTAGCACACAGGAAGCCAAATCCAGAGCTGGGGAAAAAATGGCAGGTTCTTTAGGAATGGAGAAGAGGGAACTGCTGAAACACCAGGGGTAGGGGGAAGAGGGTGAGGTGGAAATCACATATAGGAAGAGTTAAGAAAATCTCAGCAGGAGGTTGCATTTCTCGGTGGGCGACAGCTCTGGCATCCGAAATTGTTCATTAATTCAAAAATTAAAACAAACTGCCAACCAAGGGAATCAGGGACGACACCATTATCTTATTGACCCCAGGCTGCATTAAGCTCCTATGTGTTCGTGACTTTGGTAGCCTGAGCTTTCTTGGGATCCAAACACAGGTTCTGAATGAAATGGCTGAGAGTGACCATTGGAAAAGGCATCATCCTTGCTGGCTTCTGCTCCCCCAGGGAAATAACGCACCTTTCACATCCTGTCTGTCAAACTTGTTGGGGTGTATTTTTCTCTGGGAAGGCCTTTCCACAGTTCATAAATTTTCCTTCAACACAACCTCCCCCACATCTCCTCTTGGTAAAACCAAGGGAGAGGCTAAGTCAGCTGGACCCAGTATCACTGGAGCTGAGCACACAGGCTCTGGGCAGGACTGTGAAATAACCAATTTGACACCTCTTACCCCTCCTCATTCCTTTTTCTTTCTTCCCCTTGACTCTCTTACTCTCCCCATCCCTTCCTTGCATATGCTAGGATGACCCTAAGCTGTGCTGCCTTGAGAGAGTTACTTTACCTCTCTGTGTTAAAATTTCCTCATCTACTGGGAGCAGCTACCTAATGAAAGTGTGAGAGGGTTTAGGAGGTAATACTATTCTCTGGAAAGTCTGGGCCAAATGCTCCACACAGTGCCTGCCTCACTAAGTGCATGCGAGCAGTATTGAAAGGCTATGAGAGCAGGGCTGCCTCCCCCTGAAGCTTGCACTGTCACGGAGGATGGTGTACAGTCTATGCCATTCTAGGCAATTAGAAAGAAAAATTAGCACAAAAGATGCCAAGAAAGCTAACATTGTGCAGAGAACCCACTTCCTAACAATTGTGGGGATAGGGGGAGGTGGGAAAGGACAGGGCCTGCCTGGCTGATAGGACCCTTACTGAAATCTTCACAACATCAACATTAGGTGCCTGGGGAGCCAGCTCACCCAGATAGGTGCCATTCTGCCTAGACTCCAGGGACTCAGACTGGTCTACATTCCTCAGGAGGAGTGAGTCCTAGGACGGTTGGGCAGTGGGGTCCAAGTGGAACTAGGTGAGGTGAGAAAGCAGTCACAGCCACTGTGGGCTGCTTCTCTGCCCTGTCACTGGGAACCCTGGAGACCCTGGCAGCTTTGCCAGGGCCCTTAATGAGAGTAAAAGAGACCAGATCTGCAACTGGGAAGTGGGAGACAGCCTCTATAAGGCTGGGCAGCTCTCTCAGTCCCGACAGCTCAAGGCAAGGCTCATCAGTGGTTTGCTTTTCCCCAGGACATTAGAAAACATTCTCTTCAATTTGTAATGATGGAAGTAGTATTAATAAGAGCTACTGTTTTGGAACACTTAGAAGTTTACCTACTCATCCTATTATTATAACAATTTCAGGGGCTGGGGTTATGTTTATCACCACTTACAGATATAGAAACAACTGAGAGCAAGTGCATTGGCTTAGCCAAGGTCCCAGGGGGGACAATGGTTGGACAATGAAGCCTGGATGCCTCCAGCAGTTCAGCCTGATGGCAAAGCCTGTGCTGGTAGCCACTGTACTCTGCTGCCTCCCAGGGGACTAGAGTGCTCAAATCTAGATTACAGAACTATGTTGAGGACTACAGGCATCCCATTGCTCCGTAGAGATCTGAGAAATGACAGTGGGAGGAAACTCTGGGGATTTCTCCAAGGTTCTAGAATTGCTGGGAAGCCTGAGCTAGCCCACATAAATAGGCCAGAAAAGGACCTGGCAGAATATTCTCCTATATGCTGTTTTTCCTGTATCTACCCCTTCACAACTCCCAAGAGAAGGTGTATTTAGCTCAAAGACAATTTCTCAGTCGTGAAGATAATACTAGAATAAGATGTCTTAGGAAACCTTGGTATCTGGGCCACTCCCTACAAGCTGTGTGCACTTAGCAGCATAATACAGAAAGAACCTTAGCCTGGGAATTATGGAACCAGCTGAGGGATTTTGATGTTGTTGCAGTTTGGCTGGGGCAGGTTCAAACCCACCACCCTTGGTATATGGGGCTGGCTCCCTACTCATTGAGCCACAGGTGCCCCCCTGCTGAGGGATTTTGAGACTTAGTTTTCTTACCTGTATAATGGGCATGATAATAATAAATAATATCTGCTGAGCACTTACTCTAGACCAGGTCCTAAACTAAGTACTTCAGATTTAAGCTTCCTAGAAACTATGTAACAAGGGCTATTTATCATTTACGGACTTTTCAAGTCACATAGCCAGGGAGTAGCACATCTGGTATAGAACCAAGTGCTGGCTCACTGCAACCCCATTCCCTTATCCGCTGTGATACAATCCAGTGTGTGCAAGAACCTGACTTCTATACCATACTGACTAAATGTTACTTCTTGCTCTCTTGTCCTCCTTGGAGAGCACACCTATACAATTCACCCCAAATATCTCAGGAGTAAAAACATGAAATACAGTAACACCCCTCTTATCATCACCTTTGGAAAACTGCTTAGGCCTCTGCAGTGTGCCTCTAAGGGCACCTGCTGTGAATCAATGTGTCACCTTCTTAAGGACAGCCTGCTCTGGCTGGGCTTCTTGGGTAGATCAGACAGTTTGAAGGGAAGAGCTGGGTCATCCTAGAATTAGCCAGGTCCTGCTAGGATTTCTTGGAGAAATGGGAGAAAGAAAGGACCTAGCAAAAAAGCCTGCCTAGCTTCTGAAGATAACCAAAGGTGGAATTTGGGGGTGGAGGAAGGGTGTACTAGAGGCTGTGGGGAGGTGGAAACAGAATAAGGCAGAAATAATTCTGGGAGCTTGTGGGCTGCTACTTTAGTACAAAGTGGAGAAGGTGGCATCAGAGTGTTATAGCACAAGGACTTTTACTCCATCCCACCACCATTGTGTCTACCACAAAGCAGAATAAAGAAGGATTTTCACAGAGCAATACTCCTGATGAATTTGACAGGATAAGTGAATAAAATGAATAAAAACATTGCTGAAGTTCTATTTTGGGGGGAAACACCACAAAACAATAGTTATATAGTTCTTGGCAGAGATCAAAATGTCATTTTAAGATTGAGAAAGTGAGATGGTGAAGAAGAGTTGAGTCTCTGAGAGTCATACCTAACTTCACAAAAAAATGGAGGCAGGACCATTTCTCTACCAAAAATACAAAAACTGGCCAACATTGTGGTGGGCACCTATAGTTCCCAGCTACTCAAGAAGGCTGAGGCAAGAGGATTGCTTAAGCCCAAGAGTTTGAGGTTGCTGTGAGCTATGATGCCACGGAACTCTACTCAGGGTGATAGAGTGAGATTCTGTCTCAAAAAAAAAAGAAAAAGAAAAAGAAAGAAAGAAAGAAAAAGAACTGCATAGGAAAACAGATACTTTCCTATCTGTTGAAAATGAGATAATATACTTGCAAGTGCTATGTAGAGTTAGACATTATGCAGATGAAAAATAAATTAATTACTTAGGGCCAGAT